AGCTCATTTTGTCTCGAGACAGGTCTATCGAACCAAGCATGATGAAAAGCAAGCGTAACTCTGAAAGTATAGAGGTTCTGATCTATCAAGAAATCTAGTATGCTTTTTTTTTGCAACAGCGTCACTACGTGACAGGTCATTTTCTTACAGCATTCGTCTGCTGTGGCATACAGACATCATCCACCCGACCAGCGAAGGATGTTGCAACCGTTGACCCTTTCTACATAAATTTACTGTAATATACCCTCGAGTAGAATAGATATTATCTGCTATAGAGAACAAAGACACAAATGCAACTTGAATAAGATAAAATTCAATGGTTATCTGGACCGCGTGTTTATGCTAAAACTACGTAGAAACTTAACCAAACCAAATATTTTAAAAATTCCTATGTTACTAAAGATGGTGAAGACAACTAATATTCCCGCATATCACACACTATTATTATTGAACCCTGAAGTCACTAATAGGGCTCAGACTCCATCAGCTTTTAGAAAATTGTTTTATCCAAACTTCTCGAGGATCCATGAATTTGTTGATTACAAAGTCCTTAATAACGAATGAATCGTACAAGCAAATTTTAACCAAATATTCTATCAGTATTACAGTTAATCCTACTGAATTTATTGTTGGATCTTCTTGTTTTTTATTTAGGAAATGGGTGATTGTATCTTGATACTTTGGTCAGTTATTTACACTATGCATTATGAAAGTTAAAAACAGAATTTGTTGGAATATTTGGGCCCCGCCGGTGTTGAATTATATAAAAACAAGTCAGTAATTTCATTTTGCGGAGTGAATTGCTTAAACAATAAAAACACTGTAATATGTTACCTTGCAGAGTATATGAGTTTTGTAGATGTTAATTGTAAATTACTTTGATACAAATTGCATCTCATGTAATACATAGAACATACGCAAAAACACTTCAATATCTAAATTTCGATTCCTTTATCAAAGGTCACAAACGCTTTATTTTGCTAATAAAGGAATGCACTCTTCTGAAATGAAAATATGTGATGAACTTAATAAAACTTAGGTCAGTGGCAAAGTCACTACAAACGTCACTATCCTAAATTAAAACGTTAAAGGGAAATAAGCCCAAAATGTAAATAATATACTTCCTGATTCTAGCTCAGTGCTTCTCAACCTTCTTCAATATCATTCATCGGTATAAATGTTTCACAACAGCCCACTCACCCCAGTTCGAAAAACGACAAAAAAGTATTAAATTAAAATGTGAAATTCTTTATCATGGCATAAATATACATTAAACTAGAACTAGAATGAATACGATATAAAATAAATGTATTAATCAAACTACAACTAGAATAAATACTAATAATGACTTTTTTACTTTTGAATTTGTTGTATAATTGATAATACTCATTCACCCTGATCCTGATCTCATTAAACCCTGGGCGAACCATTCAGCCAGTTGAGAAGCACTGTTCTAGAGAATAACATAGACGTATTGTGTTAGTTTATTGTTGAGACGGGCGTGGTCGAAGGTTAGCGTGTCCAAGCTGGTTTTGCGTAAACATATACAAGGGATAACTGCGCACAGTGACCTCTAATTTATAACCGACACACTAGAGAAGAAGAAACTTGGCTCTCCCAATGATAAATATGGTTCTTGAGTCTCTAAGTCACTTACACACACATAGAAAAGGAAACTTTCCAAGTAACTAACAGCATCCTCACAAATGTATTTGTACCACTGGTCGACTCGTATCATTCTACATTACAGTTGTTACTGATCATTTTACTCTCTACGCTTATTGGTTTTTCTGTTCCTGGAATAGTTACGGCAGCGAACTGTAAGTTGAATGATCAATTTATATTTTCCTTGAGTCTTTTGCACTGTACTTTAAAATGATCAATTCATATTTTCCTTGAATCTTTTTACACTGTACTTTAAAATGATCAATTTATATTTTCCTTGAATATTTTTACACGATACTTTCAAATGATCAATTTATATTTTCCTTGAGTCTTTTACACTGTACTTTAAAGCAAACATATTCTGTATAAACATCCATATATATATATATATATATATAACATTTTATTTCCTTTAAAAATTGGCTATTTGCAAAATACTTACTCTAAATTTCCATTCAGTTTGGTTTTCTTGAGAAAACAGGTTGCCAGTCTCTGGACTATAGGGAATGCAACTAGTCAACAGCACCCACCGCCAACTCACAAACTACTCTTGTTGGTCCTAATAGTGGAATTTGATCGTAGCTCTTATAGCCACAGATTCAAAGTGCGAAGCAAGTTTCTGCAGGAACAGAACGCGATGCATGAACTCCCGAATTCATGGTAAAGGCACGCTAACCACTAGGACGTATCCTGCCAAAGAATCATGAGGATATTAAAGTGTTTTTCTGTAATATTATTGATCCCTGATGTTTTTATGTTTGTAGGATTTAATACAAAGATTCAGGAAGGACAAAAAATTTGCACGTGAAGTGATTGGCCTTTTCTTGGAAGACGTAATTGAAGAAGATTTGGCTGAAGAAATTGCTCGCGAGTGTTTGGTGGAAGGAATTGACAAGGATAGTTTGGTAAGACGGTCTTTATTTTCACAGGAACAGATAAGACTAATTTGGTAAGTTACTGATAGTCTCCGTGTTAGCTGTAGCTTTAGTCACTATTGTTATACGGTTGTTGTTTGATGTACATGTATATGTGGTGGGAGATCCATACGATCTCTATCTTTGCAGTATGTATGAATGTTGAAAAACATATGTATAACACATTTAGTTAAATGAAAAAGATATAAAGGGGAGCTGCAGGGTGAACAAGCATATTTCCTTTAGTGTTGGTTTAGTTGTCGGCTATCTGTGTTTTGCCCACCAGAGGTGTCGAAACCCGAATGTTTTTACGCTACACTATAAGGAACTGCATTTTTAAAATTGTTTGATGTCAAAGCTGATTCATCCACTGATTAATAGGATTTGCTACAACTTTCAAGAGTTAAAAACATCATATTCAACATAAAGTAATGCACGCCACTACCTGTTTCATATCAAACCCCAGCTGGACTTTAAATAATAAGATGAAATAAAAATCACCATGTTTCTAGTTCATCTTGAAGCTCCATTCATGTTCTTCTTTTTCCATAAACGTTCATATATTATTTGTCACACCTATACCAACTGGTAAATCTGTAGGTTGTACGATTCTCTCACCACATGTACGTTAGGTTGTACGATTCTTCCACCACATGTACGTTAGGTTGTACGATTCTTCCACCACATGTACGTTTATACCTAAGCCTAGCTCCATTCATGTTCTTCTTTTTCCATAAACGTTCATGTATTATTTGTCACACCTATACCAACTGGTAAATCTGTAGGTTGTACGATTCTTCCACCACATGTACGTTAGGTTGTACGATTCTCCCACCACACGTACGTTTATACCTAAGTCTATTTTGTACAATCTATCTTTAGTTCTTATTAAGCAAAATGTAAAATATGAGATAAGCTGTACTATGAATGAACAATATTTATGAATCGAACAGCTTCTAGACACTAATAATGATCTATAAAACAACAACGAATACCAGTGTAGCTGGTTCACACAGCGGATTCTTCCTGCGGACAGTAAGCTCTAAATATTTTCATTTCAGTCATAGGTTATACGCATTATTAGACCCGATAATATTTTAGTTTCTTAGTACAAGTTTTTGGAATCCCCTGGTGGGTCAGTGGTAAGTTTAAGGAATTACAATGCTGAACTCCGGACAGAGCACATATAGCCTATTCTGATGACAATAACAGCTTTTGGATTTATTTGAATATTAGCAGACTATTCACCTTTCTTATTTTATTGTTGATAAAAGCACCAATGAAACAAATTAAAAACAAGGTGGGTTTTTCTGTTTGTTTGTTGTTAAGCGCAAAGCTAAACAATGGATTAGCTGTACTCTACTCTCAGCGGGTATCGAACCTCAAATTCTAGCATGATAAGCCCTCAATGAACCACCGGGGGACGAAAATAAGTTTTGACTTCCAATAACAACGAATAGAACAAAAGAAAAGTAAAGTTTTGTTCGTTAAATGTTTTACAGTTTATTGTATAACTATTTACATAATAATCAAATTGAATTGGCTTAAAGTCTTCAGCAACTGATGGGGTTTAGGTCTAGTTTAATTAGATTCCTTAAAATCCTATGGAAGGTTTAGATATAAAAGCCACGAAAGATCACGTGGAACGTGAGTTGAAGACCTACAATTTGAACCTAATGAATGATGAATTCGCGTTATAAGTCTTGAATATATTTTCATACTGTAGTATTCGAACCCAAAATCAGTATGTACAATATCTTTATTACATTCGTATTTTTTCTCCCTTTTACTAAATGCTCTAAGTGTTTCAAGAACAGGAACTTCATTTTATAACATACAGATAATAAAAAATAAATAAATAGAGGGGGGAAAAGAAAAACAGGGAGAATCATGGAGAACAAAAGAAGAGAGAAGCAGGCAAAGAAAGAGTAGAGGGGCAAATATAAGTTGGGAAAAAGACCGAGGTAGATAATAAAGAAAGAGAGCGGAAAATATAAATATAGGATGAGAGAAAGGGAAAAAAGAGAAGAGAAAGGTGAAGAAAACTGGAGAGAGAGAGAGAGATAATTATAGACAGGTGGAGGAGGAGGAAACAAAAAGAAATGTCACGAAGTTTGTAAGCTTCTACTAAAACCTAATGGCTATAAACATCTATTTTGCGAGTCACCTTGTATGGTGAAAGTTTTACAACACGCCTATTAAACTATGCAACCTAATGGTTATAAAAATCTATTTTGCGAGTCACCTTGTATGATGAAAGTTCAACAACACGCTTATTAAACTATGTATCTTACCCCAATAATCTCTTTTAGATAACAGCAATATACAAATAGCAACAAAAATAATTCCTTTTTCAAATAAAAATTAATTTGATTTTTTAGCCTATGCCTTCCCCTCTTCAGCCGGTTCTAGCTGAATCAACCCAAGAATTTGTGGCTCAGAGAGACATGTAAGTTTAGTTGTTATGTTTCGTCTCACGTGGTTTCACCTTTGTTATTTACAGTTTGTTGGGAAGTTGATTACAGAGAAATCATGGTTTTGAATGAAAATCTTTTGTGGTTACAACTGTATATTCTTCTTTATTTATAAGAACGTTGCCTCATCTTTTAAATTCTTACACAACAAAATTCAGAATGGTTTGTTGACTATAATTAGTTTAAATGTTGAATCCCACGTGTTTAGATTACACAATGAGTTTTATTGTCTTATAGTAGACTCGAAGATTTGCTCATTTATTAAAACTAAAAACAGTTGAAACGAGTTGCTATATTTACTAATTCTAAAATACAACAAATAATTCTTATAAATTCAAAAGTAACTGCCTGTCTTCTCTAAGTCAAAAACACGCTGAACAACTGGCTTAGCTTAGACCAAAACACACTGAGTAACTGTCTTACCTGAAATACATTGAATAGCTGAGTGTCTTAGACAATTCTAAAACACGCTGAACAATTGTTTAGGTCAAGTCAAAAACTCACAGAACAATTGTGTCTAGGTGAAGTCAAAAACTCACAGAACAATTGTTTAGGTCAAGTCAAAAACTCACAGAACAATTGTGTCTAGGTCAAGTCCAAAACTCACTGAACAATTGTCTAGGTCAAGTCCAAATCACACTGAACAATTGTGTCTAGGTCAAGTCCAAAACTCACTGAACAATTGTCTAGGTCAAGTCCAAATCTCACTGAACAATTGTCTAGGTCAAGTCCAAATCTCACTGATCAATTGTCTAGGTCAAGTCCAAATCTCACTGAACAATTGTCTAGGTCAAGTCCAAATCTCACTGAACAATTGTGTCTAGGTCAAGTCCAAAACTCACTGAACAATTGTCTAGGTCAAGTCCAAATCTCACTGAACAATTGTCTAAGTCAAGACTAAAACTCACTGAACAATTGTCTAGGTCAAGTCCAAAACTCACTGAACAATTTAATAGATCAACTCCAAAACTCACTGAACAGTTGTCTAGGTCAAGACCAAAACTCACTGAACAACTAATTGTTTCATATTATTTGCAGCAATAAAATATTAAATAGTATTTATTATTAATAATAATGATATTTTTTGTCCTGAAAACACAGTAGGGAGTCTGCATAAATGTTTACTGTAACATCTAATTTTGCAAATTAAGACTAAAAATGTATATGCATTTTATAATAACAAAGCTGTTTTGATAATTATTAATTATTGGTTTAGCTTTATTTGTCGAGTGTGCAAAGATACGCCTTTTTGTTAGAAATTATTAGCTGTTTTTTAATACAGAATATCAGTTCCCTTTTGATAGTTTTAAATTGTCTTTACTTTTCCAGTTGAATTGATAACATTTAGGATTTTCATAATGTTTTGAAACAAAACCTCTGCACATTACCAATTAAAATATGCAACATTTTTCTTCCATTCCAGGGTTAAACCTGAACCGTGTGATGACACGTAAGTATCAATTAAACTCATTAGTTCATGTTCTGTTAGTGTTTGTATTGAGCTCATAATTCATTATTGGTTCTATTAAGGTTTGTATTGAGCTCATCATTCATTATTGGTTCTATTAAGGTTTGTCTTGAGCTCATCATTCATTATTGGTTCTATTAAGGTTGGTATTGAGCTCATCATTCATTATAGGTTTTATTAAGGTTTGTCTTGAGCTTATTCAGCATTGGTTCTATCAAGGTTTGTCTTGAGCTTATTCATCATTGGTTCTATTAAGGTTTGTCTTGAGCTTATTCATTATTGGTTCTATTAGGGTTTGTCTTGAGCTTATTCATTATTGATTCTGTTAA